GCTGGTGTTTGGGGAGTGTGCATAAAATGTCAGCAGAGCGCCCGATGGACAGCTGCCCCATCATTGATCCCGCACTGGATGTGAGGGGTGCTGACGGTGTTATTTGGCGGGGAGAATGTTTGTTTGCGATGCCCGGGGATAGGCCCTCTTCGTGGTGTCCGGACACGCCTCCCACGAACACGACAGATGCGAGGGACCCGGAGGAGACGTGTCGGAGTGCTGCCATGCATGCGGCGTTGGGGTGCCTTGTCATGCAGGTGCGTCTTAGAGTGGTCGAAAAGGGCGGCGTCCGTTGGGTCCCATGCACGGACGGGGCGACGATTGCGTGGGCCACTCGACCGTACGATGAGGGAAGCGTTGCTTGCCGTGGCCACGCGCAGGTGTGCGCGATATCCGCCGCCGCCGGCAGTCTCCTTCCGGTGGTTCCGTGGGACGGCGAGGAGAGGGTGTGGAGCAGGACGGTCCCACCGGCAATTACTGGACAAGGATTGCGAGGGGGCATCCGTCCCCGTTGCGGAGAGCATTGATCCCGGCCGCGGCACCCCACCGAAGGATGTCGACTCGGCTGAACCCCAGAAGAATCCGCCGCCCGAGGAGAGGCAGTCGCCCCAGATGCTCCGACAGGCGACGGGGTGATCTCGCCCAGCGACACCGCGGGTGCGCCGCAGGAGACTTTAGGGAAGAGCGGTCTTCCGTGCAACGACGATGTTGCCGCCGATGGTGTGACGTCTGTTGTGGGACAACCAGCAGGAGATGAGGCCGCCAGCGACGGGGCCGGTGGCGGTGCCACAACCACGGGATCCAAGGGCCCTGATGCCGCGCAGGGCGCCGTGGACCCTCCGCGGAGCGATGATGATGCGGCGGTGGGGCGCGGGGATTGGGAGAGGGACCTGACGGACGCCCCGCCTCCGATCCACGGCAATGACGCTGCTGCAGCAGCTTGTCCCTGTCCGCCACTTCTTCTGCTTGCCGCTGCCGCCGCCGTGACACCACTCTGCTGAGCGGCGGCATGGGTTCCGTTGCACGGCGATGCGACTGCTGTTGCCTCCTGCGTGGCCCGCACTCAGCAGTGGATGCAAGAGAGAAACAATCCATGCCAATTGATATGCCTCGCTCTATACACTTTCTGTTTGTCTGTACACTTTATGCCAGGGACATGCTCTATACACTCTGCCTCTCCTGTGCTGGCTGCCGATGTCGAGGCATCACGCACCTTTTTTCTTTTTGATGGTTTACGAGTACCAGTCTGCTTGACTTCTTCTGAGGAATGCCGTGAGGGCGTTTGTGTGCGTGTGCGAGGGCCCCGTGTGGGCTGCGATTTCTCATTATTGTTTATTTATTTGCATTGGCTTTGTGTAATGATCCTTCGCCTCTCCTATTGTGTGTGTTGTGTGATGGGCGGTAAATGAAGTGTGTGGACGAGCCGAAGAATAGGTGCTTGTGACCAGGATGCTTGCGACGAGGGCTGGCTGCCTAAATTAATATGCGTCCTGATAAAACGAAGTCATTTCTGTGCGGTATTTTTTCACTGTCTTGTGGTCGATTGGATGACCGCGATGGACGCAATCGGTGCCGATGGCGGTAGGACAAAATTATTTATTTATTATTAATTTTACCTTCACAGCCAACCCCTTTTGATTTCCCACCGCGCGGCGGTGTTTTGTGGCTGCAGGACTCCGAAGTCTGCCGCCTCGTAGGTCTGTATCTACATATCCCATCCGAATAGAGTGGGCGGCCCACAATTGTGGCTAACGGACGATATTTATATACATATATACACTTACCTGCTGTTAAGCTTTGAGGGTGTGGTGAATCCACTCTTGTCCCGCTCATCCTTTCTTATTCCTATCTGGTTTGATTTCTACCGTCGATAAACTCAGGATCCGGTCAGCGGCCCAGAGGATTATTCTGCTTTAATTTCTTTTTCGATTACTTATGAATTCTTTTGTTTTTCTTTTACACATTTTTGTATGTTAAATAGTTTTTGTTTGCATATTTGTGTCCACCCTTCGCCTTTTCTTTTAATTTTTTTATGGTTGCTTTATTTGTTATTATTTTTTGTTTGTGTTTGTTTTGTGTTTCATGGGGGTGGGAGGCTGTTATTATTAGATTGGTTTGGTTTTTGACGCTGGCGAGTGTGTGCAGCGACGATACAAATGGAGAAGAGGGCTCCGCTTGAAAAGGTTTGTGTCGCGGATACGGTGGTACAGGCGTGCCTGGCGCATGCCTTTACGACGGAACAAGAAGAGGTGATGGGGTTGCTACTTGGGGAGGTCACCGTGCATCACGGTTGTGGTACGACGGCTGCTATTTCTTCAGAGACGGTGAGGGTGGCTGCAACCGTCTCTCCTGCAATTTCCACAGGTGCTAAATCTTTCGGTGGGAATGTGAATGCTCCAACACCAACACCAACACCAACGTCACCGTCCACCGTTCGTAAGCGTGCCAATGTGTGGGGTGCTTGGATTTTGCAGCGCAGTGTGAGGCGTGCCGACCGTGTTGAAATTGCCCCAGAGATGCTTGCCGGTGCCTCCGATGAGGCGGAGCGCTACACAAAACAGGTGGGACATCATACCCGCGTGATTGGGTGGTACCACAGCCACCCCCGCATCACGCCATACCCGTCGCAGGTTGACCTTCGCTCCCAGGGCTCGTACCAGCAGATGGAAAGCGGTTGGGTTGGTTTGATATTTAGTGTTTTTTACAGCGACGCGACGAACAGGAATGGCGTTTCTATTCACTGCTTTCAGACAGGTCCTGGCGAAACGCATGAGAAGGTTGAGATTGAGATTGTTCCTGTTGGAAGTATGCCGCTGAGGTCATTACCACCGTGCGAAGTTACGCACCGTCTTCTTCATGTATTTCGTTCCGAGGTCAATGCTGCAGTGGAGCTGGTTAGGCGGCGTTGCAAGGATGCGCCTGACGCAATGGCGGCAGCCTTTGCCCTACAAGAGGTTCAACTGTATACTCTTGAGAAGTTGGTTGCGCAGCCTACCTTGAGGCATCTAAGAGCCTGTATTTCCTATATGGAGCGTGAAGTGAAGCGTTTGGAAAAGGAGTTGGCTGCACAAAATTCTTGACAACTTTTTTTTTACGGGTGTTTTTTTCCCCGCTCCTTTTCTGTTGTGGCATTTGGGTTGCTTGTTTGTTTCCCTTTACAGAAGGCGGAAGGGCGGCGCAGAGAAGTTTGGGGTTTAGGGCGGTGATATATATATATTGTTTGGAGCGTTTCTCTTTGGCCATTTTGTTTTGTGTCACCGGTAGCACAACGCCAGATGTCTTTTAA